GTGTGGGCAGGCAGGGCAGGGTGTGTCATGGTAGGAGGTTGGCCGATACAGGTTTAAGATAAAACGTAACAGGGGCAAGAAGCTGGCGGAAAACGCTCTAGAGAAGGAAGAGGTGATAGCAGGAACTGCCTCAACTTTTTTTCCAGGTCCAGACTACATTTTATTCTGACACAGAAGTGTGGATGTGAAAGGATAGGGAACAGCCATGACTGGGTGAGGTCAAAGCAGCAGACACCTGCCAATACACTACAAGGAGTAATGGAAGACTGCGCGCGAAAGGCAGGACCCCGATGATTTACTATAAGGCAGGCTTCCTCAGCCTCGGCGCTACTACATTCTTTGGTGTCCTGTGTATTATAGGATATCCCTGGCCTCTACCCGCTAGATGTCAGTAGCCATCTCCTCCCTAGTTGCAGAAACCCCCCAAAAAGCCCCAATCAAACCAACCAAAAAACCCCACAAAACAATGAAAAAACAAAACCTTATTCCAGACATTGCCAAATGTCCCCTAGGGACAAAACCCCCCACGGCTGAGAGCTACTGCTCTAAAGAGGTTGAACTGTAACCTCTGGCAAAGGGAAGCCACGGACTGATTTTAAGCACAGAGAGCCATTTTGTCAGATGCGCTTTTCCAATGGAAGCGGCAGAGCAGAGGCCGACCGTGGCAGACGGGTAAGGAGGCAAAGGACCAGGCAGGCTAGTGACACAGCACGGCTGAGGATGGTGGACATGCGGACCAAGGCAGGCGTGGTGGAGAAGGACACAGGGCACAGATGAATGCGAGTTTCAATGGCACAGTCAGACGGAGCTTCTCCAGGACACAAGTGGATAGAGCATTTAAAGGAAAGGGAGAAATGAAGGAGAATTACTTGTAGGGTTCTAGTGTGGTTATTTAGGTGGCTGGGATGAGGGCTATCACACTATTACCTAGGACGGGGAATTTAAAAGGAAGAGCAGGTTTGAAAATGAGTTGTTCCAACTTAATAACAGTTTGAGTTAAGTGTGGGATATCCGGGTAGTGAGGTTAGTAGAGTTCGTGTTCACTCAGTCAACACTTACATAGACTACATGGTACATGCCGGGGCCTCTACAAATATTAACTTCACTTAACCCCCACCACATCCACTGAGAGAACAACTACTGTCACCCCGTCTTACCACAGGGAAGCTGCTGCACTAAGAAGTTAAGTAACTTCTCCAAGGTTCCACAGCTGATAAGTTTTGGAGCCAGGATCCCCAACTCAGAGTCTGTGCTCTTAGCCACCAAACTGTGATGCCTGCCTCAGGAAAAAGGACTGTGAATGTAGATTTGGATGGTTTTCTGTACACAAGGCCTGGTAGGTGAAGTCACAGGCATGCATGTGAACTCCTAGGGAAAATGAGCAAAGAGAGAAGAAAAAAACCAGCGTAGCATGAAATACTGAAGGAAAGTTATGCTTTAAGTCAAAGGCCAAGGCGAAGCCAGAGGAAGGAGCCAGTCAGGGAGATGGCAGGGTCAGTAGATAAAATCTTAAGGGCAGGAAATAAGTAATGACGTCTTTGTAATCCCTGATAAACCCTTGCATATAATCTACTCTTTATAAATGTTTTTAATTAAGTACAATCCCAAATAATGATATCAAATACTCATACTTACAGAACAGTCAAAAGACTTTAGAGTTGAACAAAACTCAAATCATACATGCTTGAGATTTTTTTAAAATACCAAAAGTTTATAGAAGATACACTGTCAGTGAATATGAAACAATAGCACAGAAACCATATGAAATCATTCCTTACATTTATGTCCAGCTAAAGCAGCTCTGAGAAGCTTTATTCACACCCTACTTCACAGCAATGTAACATGTTACTCTATTTTGCATTTTGTTGAAGATCACAGGAAATATTGGCTCTTCTAGGTTTTGCAACTGACAAATACAGAACTGTGTGGTCTCTTCCTAAAGCAGGATTTAGAAAATGTGTATATGAAACTGATTACTTCTCACTTGAAGGAGTTACTGGAGCATCTGGTGAATCTTGAGCTGTACTGCTATAATGAGTCTGTGTATCTAAACAGCGCTCGTTAGGCATTCCTCATCATACTTTACAATCCTATACCCTAAACACAAACATTTAGTAGGAAATGAGTTTCCTCAAGATGAAAAAAAAGTTGGCCCCCATTTCCAATTCAAAGCAAGTATTTCCCACAGGGATAAATCTTGATTTCCACGTCCAAACTCAGAGTGTTTTCCAACCTTTACCGTGTATAGAAATCATCTGGGGATCTTGCTACAATGAAGGCTCTGATTCAGCAGGTCTAAAGCTGGGCTGACACTTGCATTTCTAACAGGGCTCTCTCCCCTCCTGGATGAAGATGTCCATCTACACGGGCTACTCACGTGTGACCCCTCGAGCCAGGAGCACTAGCAGCAGTTGGAAATTTGTCGAACTTCCAGCCCTCCATGGGACAAACACTGACATACTGACATCAGCGGCTGAAACTGATGACTCCAGGAACTTACATTCAATTATTTCTTTTAAAATCCATTTATTTACAACTCATTCATTCACAATTTTCTTTTTTGTTACTGAAGATCGGACCTTCTTTTCTCTCCATTCCTTCCATAATCCTAAACTGTATATCTAATAGTTAAGCACCTTCCACAAGGCAGCCTCAGCTGGCTCTTCCAGGCTTTTCTCTTCTAATCCCTACATAGGTCCACAACATGCCAGCTGAATGGAACTGGTTATTTTCTAAACAGAATGTCCTTTATCACACTCCCTCCTGTTCTGTGTTGTTGTGGTTGGTGCTTTTCCCCATCAGGCCAATCTCGAGAGTCATCTCTCTCTACTCACTTTGCCAGATTTCTCAGGGAGATGTGATCTCACCATTCTCTGAGCCAACTACTCACCCTCATCTGAGGAGTTTTTCTCTCATTCTAATACTTACTGCATTCTGCTGTACACGTGTATATACTTGTCTTATCTCGGCTACTGAAGTAGAAGCTACCTGGGGGCAGGAATTTTTAAAACTAATTTGGATATACTTTGCAAGGTGTAACACAGTTCCTCACTAATACAATGTTAAATAAAACCCCATTAACATCAAGTAAAGCAGTATTCCTTACTGATGATAAACTTGATCTAAATATTCCTAGGTCACAAATCCAAATTCTGTTTTCTTATTTCTCCAAGTACAACTGGTCTTCTGCTTTACTCATCACAGACAGAAAATTGGGCACGATATTTTATTCGCTTCTCAACTCTTAATACCTAGAAAACTTTTATTTAATCTTGCTTGACACATGTTATCAGAACATAAACTGTAAACCAGTTAATTTGCCAATTTCATTCTGAACAGGCCAAATGTTGTTGTATCCGTTGAGGAAAATGAATCCTGTACTGAAACCTTCCCCAAACCATTATGAAGCTCCACATACACACAAAAAAGGAGACCACAAAACAGCACAATATCACTGAATCTCTCTCGTTAAATCTCTGAACTACAGCATAGTAACAAAAATTAATATTTAGAAACTAAAGACTCTTCAGAAGACCTGGAAGAATCTGAGGCATGAGGAGATGCTATTTGTGTTTTAAGTCATCACGTTAGTGTTAGTACAAAGTTAGTCAATAGACAATCACAAAAGTACAAACCCAAAAAGTAATCCAATATAGTATTAAGACCAACCGAAATTAAACAGTGAGTCACTGGAAATATCCTCTGCTAAATTCTGAGGATAAATATAGAGACCAAGAACATAAGTTAATGCAGAGCAACTGCTAAAGAAGAGGCCAGGTCAATGAGCATCTCTCACCAATGGATGCCAGGTGAGATCAGAGTGTCAAAGTGATGTGGACTTGTGATCACCGCCAATGAGTGCAACACAAGACCTCATCATCAGAACCGCACTGCGCCAAAAGCAAGACCCAGAGAAACAATCTGACTTCACTGACTTATGAAACAAATGTTCTATTTGAGAGCCACTACAACAATGTACTTTAAAGACCAAAAAGTATCCACACATGTTTGGGAAAAAAAAAGAAAAGAAACCCTACAAATTATATTTACTCATCATCTGTTAATTAGGTTTTCCTACCTTAAAGAGCATATTTTTGGCCAAGGGTGGAGAAGGGACAGGAAGGAGCTTCTGATGATGTTGTGAGAGGCAGAACAGTGATTACCCCTGAAATATCCACCTTCCAATCCCTCAAACCTGTGGATGAGTTGCCTTATGTGGCAAAAGGGACTCTGTGGTTGTGATTCAGCCATGGACATGAGATGGGTAGATGAGCCTGGGTCACCTGGAGAGGGCCAAGGCAATCACAAGGATCCTCAAAGTAGAAGAAGGAACCAGACGAGGAGATCAGAGTGACGAGATGTGAGGAGGAATCAACAGCTTATTGCTGCCGGCTCTGACGGTGGAGGAAAGGGCCAGGAGGCAAGGGAGACGGCAGCTTCTAGCAGCAAGAAAAGGCAGGGAAAAGGTTCTCCTCTACAACCTCCAGAAAGGAGTCCAGCCCTATAGCATCTGGATTGCAGCCTGTGTTGAACTTTTAATCTACAGACTGCATAATAAATTTGGGTTGTTTTAAGACACTAATTTGTAGTAATTTGTTACAACAGTAATAGGAAAGTGATCCAACAGTAAACTGCTATTAAGAGAATTCTCTAAAACAAACACAGCTACCCTGTGTAATGTGATGCTCTGCAAATATGCGAAGATTTAGTTTGCATTCCTAAGAAATATACCCGCTCCTCTGTAAAATGCTAATGCACAAAGCCTAAAATTAGATTTTATGAAAAGACAGAGAAGTAAATCCAATTAACTTTGATCAAGAAAGTGGGTTAGAAAATAAAGCAGAACGAGGTATGTTCAACTAAACAAGAAGGTGATAAATATTAAGCAGGAAAATTTGATACTCCTTGTGCATAACATTAAAAAGGGAGCAACACAGTACCCATTCCACTGAGTCAGCCAAAAGGCAAAGTGCGGTATTTCGCTTCAAGCTCCTATTTACCTAATGATCCTCTGGGCAGCATACTGATGGAGAGAACGGAACTGTGCCGACATGTTCGCTAAAGCGGCCAGACAGTTGGTGTGAAGGTACTTGTCCTGTAAGGAAACAGAAGGGTGAAAACAGACATCGAGTCGTCTCTACATCTGAAGCAAGATTAACTGGAAGCAAACATAAACTCGATTGTCACTGATTTTTAGAGCGTTCAGGCCCACAATCCCTTTCCTCTCATTATAAAATCCTAAAAACTCTGTTTTATTCACTACCCATCTGGAAGCTACATCTGGTGCAAAAGATTATGATGCTATTTGTCGTCACCTTTATCCCTGTCCTGGTGCATATCAGAACTATTTCACTGCAGAAACATTAATGCTTAACTACAGAGAGCTGCTGCAGAAACTCAGAGTTACACAGACTGTAGCACATACACCATAATCATCTTTTTTTGTTTTGAAGATTTTATTTATTTGACAGAGACACAGCAAGAGAGGGAACACAAGCAGGGGGAGTCGGAGAGGGAATAGCAGGCCTCCCGCCAAGCAGGGCGCCCGCCAAGCAGGGAGCCCGACACGGGGCTCAATCCCAGGACCCTGGGATCATGACCAAAGCCAAAGGCAGACACTTAACGACTGAGCCGCCCAGGAACCCCCACAATCATCTTCCTGGAGTCAAAACATTCTCCATTTTTAAACATGTCTGACTCCTAGAGTTTCAGATAAAAGACTGTGGACATGTATCCACGTTAGCCTCATTACAGTAAACTTGACCATTTCTCTGAGCTACAAATTCTGTACATTGCTTCTCTATCGAGCAGAACTGAAATTTGCTCCCAGATGGTGCAAATACAATCCAGCTAAAATTTTCCTTTCTTAAAGTATTCATTCTACTTTTCTTTTCCATTTAAATTCATATTTCTTGTGCTTGTATCTTCATACACTTTGTTGTTGCTGCTTTTAAAGAGCAAATCAGTTTTAGTGGTCTAGCAAAGACAGACATCTTTTATCTAAATATGCCCCACTGCCCATTTTATGTAAAATACCTCTAATCCACACAACCTATTAAATATTAAGAAACAGACACTATATAAGGTAGAAGGAAACATCAAAGCAAAAAATGATGATCTTCTTATAATGTGTCATTAATACTTATTAATATTTTAGTATTATTTTATGTTAAAGTATATATTACATTATAAAACATGAATTACTTTTAATTAATAAAAAAAGAAACAGACACTATACACATTATTTTAGGATCATGTATTTCAGTGACTATACGTACATCTGTTATTTTTTTTACCATATTTCCTGAAAATGTTAGTATTCTAAATATTGAGATTGCTTTAAACTACAGGCCCAACTGTACTATACATATAAAGATAAAAATAATTGCTATGGAATACTTACTCTTGTCCTCGTCATGTTGTACTGAATGGTTCTTATTACAACCAGTATCAGAAGACTCCCCAGTGAAATTTCAGTTAAAACCCGTTCTGAATACCAACTAATATTTTTTAATATCTGTAATGGGGAAGAAAAGTTTAAGTAAATATGACTGCTTCAGGGAATAAAGGATTATCCATGTCTACAATCTCAGATAAGCCATGGCTTTGCTCTGAAGGTGAGTTAAACAATATAAAAGTGAATTGTGAGACTTTCAGTTCAAGATAGCAAAACAGTGCTGAGGTGTTCACTTCTCTTTCCTTTTTCCTTCTTAAACAGAAAAGAAAAGAGACCTGGAAAACAGGAGGATATCATTAGTACACAAAAAGGAAATATATTTGAAAGATGGGCAGCACAAAGACAAGACAGAAAAATTGGAAAAAGTGGAAATAGGAAAACTGAGGAGTCTCTTGAAAAGTAGAATTCTCTCAAGAACCACAGAAAACCGGGATGCCTGGGTGGCTCAGTTGGTTAAGCCGCTGCCTTCGGCTCAGTTCATGATCCCAGCGTCCTGGGATCGAGTCCCACATCGGGCTCCTTGTTCTGTGGGGAGCCTGCTTCTCCCTCTGCCTCTGCCTGCCACTCTGTCTGCCTGTGCTCTCTCTCTCTCTCTCTGACAAATAAATAAATAAAATCTTTAAAAAAAAAAAAAAAAAAAAGAACCACAGAAAACCTTCATACTTGTATTCAGGAAAAGCCAAGAACACAAATAAGCCAAGATCCAGAAGATCCATGCCATGTTCTGCTCTGGCTGCTGAGAGCTGGTAGCTCTGGTGCTCCCCTCCAGGCACCATAAGCAAGAACTGTTTTCTAGCTTGGGCTGGTGCAGTTCCACAGTGGATATGAAGGATGGACATCAGAGAGAGATAAAAACTGGACATTGCAGATCTGTGATTTGAAAGACTAATTCAAAAGTTCTCTCATACAACAGCAATAAACAGGCAAAAAGATAAAGTATGAGAGAAAAGCAGAGACCTAATGTCTACTTAGTAAAAGTTCCAGAAAGTACAGACTAAAAGGAAAACAGAAAAATTAGTAATAGGATAAAGTTTTGCTGAGGAGAGGAAAAACTTCCAACATTATGAGGAGAAATAATGAGAAAAAGTAAAAATAGTTTGGTAAAACTTCTGAATTTATAGTACATAATAAAATCTTATTGGCTCCCAGATAGAAGAAGCAGGTTATCACCAAAAGAGAGACAAGCAAACTAACATTAGATTTCTTGTCCTAAACACTATACATCTGCATAACAAGAGAACAATGTCCATACATTTCTAGGAATGGATTATGATTCTAGAATTCTATACCTAGAGAAACTACCACACAAGTTTACAAACAAAGTCTTGGAAGTATGCAAAGAGTCAACATGAACTGCTCATGCACCATTTCTGGGGGAAAAAAACAAATCACCACACATTTAAGTATTTAGCTGTCTGTCCTGCCCACCGTGACAACAACAAAAAATGACATATCAAGAAATTCAAGAGGAGAATAAGGACTTCCAAACAAAACCCAAAAGCAACAACCAACCACAATCATAATCCATGAAGTCAGAGAAATAAAGTTAAATCTAAGTAATATGGTTGTACCTCAGTTCTTCTAAAAAAATCATTAAAATTGACATTTCTCTGGCAAATCTGCCCCCCCAAAAAGTCCAAATAATAGGAGGAATGAGAAAGGGGGTATGGAAACAGACCAGAAGAATAAAAAAAAGTAGAGATACTGTGTTCAACTTCATGTAAGTGCACATGAATGCCTCCACAAAAGATTTTCACTCAGTTCAACTATCTGGCAAGAGTCCCAAATCACCTAGTACCCGCCATTACAAATAACCAACCCTGACCTGTTCTGCAGTCTCCACTCAGAGGCTGGCACACAGCAAACACCCACTAAATGGTAGCTGAGTATTGTTTGTGAGGTAAAAAATGTAAATGTGTACGCATCCCCGTGTATTCATGACTAAGGATGTAAGTGGAAGAGATAACCTAATGTGTAAAACAAATAACAGTTGAAAAAATTCAAAACAATGAGTTTTGCCACTTGAACCTTTACAAAGAACAGTGAAGTGCCTAGTCCCTCTGACTTACTCTCTAAGGCACCAGTTCTCAAAACGTGGTCCTGGGACCCTGTAGGGGTCCCACAGACACGTGTGGACAATTCTCAAGGCCAAAATAATTTTCATGATAATACCAAAATATTACTTTCCACTCTCATTCTCTCATGAGCATACAGTTGAATTTTTCAGGTGGTACATAACATGGCTGATAATGTAACAATTTTAGTACAGAAGCAGACATGAGAATCTATCAGTCTTCTGTTAAGGGAATTTGTTCAAGAGATTTGTAAAAACATAAATGCCATTCTTCTTGCTAAATTTTTGTTTGGCAAAACAGTTATTTTTCATAAAAATATATTATTGATGTATCTAACATATATTGGGGTTTATTATAATAACTATTATTTCCAAATGACCTGATTAAATATTTTTTAAATATCTCAATTTTAATTTCTAGTATGGTAAATGTACAGAGCTAAAACCCACAGAAAAAAACTATTTGGTGTCCTCAATTATTTTTAAGTGTAAAGACCAAAAAATTTTAGAACCAATGCTCTTAAGTCTCCAAATAAATACTAACACAGGATACTCATTAGGCAACTTTACTAGTGAGAGAAGTCTCTGTCTTTTTAAAGGCCACACATTTGAACATAGTTCAGTTTCTCCTCTCCCAGCTCCTTTATTTAGAAATAAATTGTCATAACCCATCCTTATTTGAAACAGAGGTCATTAGTTCTTAACATCTGCTTGTGTGTGTCAATTACAAACCTGGATGGAAGAAATGTTTTGAATAAAAGTAGTCTTATTCATTTAACATTCAACAAATATTTAAATGGTATCCACATAGTAAACTTATAACGTCACTATAAAAATTAGAAATCCAATTTAGTCTTTACATAAAATTTTTTCTTCCTGTGAAAAATATATTATTGCTTAGAAATTCTGGTTATGTTTAAGAAAAATTATAAAGAACTAGTTATAAAGCTCACAAAGCTTCCCATGGGACATCAATGCATAATGGGTAACATACAGAAAATTCTTTTTGGTAACTTAGCTGTAGCCATTGACCTATTTAGAACCTATATAAACTATTTAACTTACAAAAGCAATTCCCCATTTCTTGTATCCAATATTCAGACATACAGTTTAATAGTCCTAGACTGGCATCTTGATTATACAATTTCATGGTCAACTAACTCAAATAATATGCAAAAGGAAACCTCTCAAGGATCTGAAAATGTCTTCTTTCTTAAAAAGGATATGAGAATTGCTAGTTGTAGGTCTTTTCCTGAGCTTTCCCCCATATAGATTTGATTTTATTGAACATCTCTTCCAAATGTTTATATGCTAGAGTTGAGTAACATACTGTGTAATATCAACTCTTTAGAATATCAAGTATGTTTAGAAAGGCAAAGAATAATTAACTTCCATATTCCCACAACTGACATTAACTGTTAACATTTCACTTTTTTTAAGATATAAATCCCATTTTACTCCCCCAAAGTAGGGATACACTATCAACCGCAAATCAACCACTACCTTGAACTTAGTATGTACCTTTCTAGTCCCCTTCGAATGCTTTCTATGTACACACACTCCCTCCAAAGCCTAGGAGATTCCTTTGTGTATTTGCTAGTTTATAAAAACAATACCATGGTGTCTTAGGTTGAATAGTGTCCCCCAGAATTCATGTCATCCAAAACCTGTGAATGTGATCTTACTTGAAAACGGGGTCTTCATAAATACATAACCAAGATGAGGTCCTACTGGGTTGGGATGGACCCTAAATCCAGTATGACTGGTGTCCCTAGAAGAAGAGGAGGAGACACACAGAAACAGGCACCCACGTGAGAGGAGGACACGACACAACAGACAATAGAAGCTGCAAGCCAAGGACAACAAAGACTGGCCACCAGAGACCAAGAAGAGGCAAGACCTGTCTCCTAGGTCTTTCAGAGATACCATGGTCCTGCTGACACCCTGCTTTTGAACTTCTAATTGCCAGAACTCTGACAATCAATTTCTGTTGTTTTTAGCTACCCCATTTGCAATAATTAGTTATGGCAGCCCTAGGAAACTAGTACACATAGGTATTTGTTTGCATCTTATTTTTTTTCTCACTCAATATGTTCTCGTGACCCCCCCATGTTGATGCATATAAGGAAATTAATATTTACCACATATGCCAAATTCTGGTAGTACTAATCATTTCTTAAAATGAATACAACTATGGTCATTAATAAGCAGCTGTTGCCCCAAGCCACTCTCCCAGGACCACCTGGGGGTTCCACAATTACCGTACAGAAGACAATGATGGGACCATGGTTGATATCCTTCTGACTGGCTGACTCTGGTTCCATACTAGTTAAATGTCTGAATATCACCCTTACTGCATCCCACCTAAGTACTGAATAGTACTATACCAATAGGCCACATGTTCTTGGGTCCACTCTTCTATTAATGGAAATTGGGGTTATTTCCAGTTTTTCCCCTAGTAAAAACAATGTTACAAGGTAGATTCTTACCCTTACTACCCAAAATCTCACTACAGGATACTCAGATACCAGGGACCTCTTACTCTCCGTATTTTCATACTCTGAACATTAATTATCAGTTAAGTCAGTCAGGAAACATATAAATTTTAAAAAGAAAAATAATCTGTAAAACACCCATTTTAAGCCACTCATTTTTCAGTACTTAATGACTTCAAAAGCGAATCTCCAAGAGTTTGCGAGGAGGCAAAATTGCAAAGTCACTGAATAGCTTTTTTTTTTTTTTTTTTAAATAAACATAGGCTTGGGTCACTATTAACTAAAAAGCATAGAGCAGCAGTGTTCATCACAACAGCATGAATCACAAGCAGGTATTTGGCTTCAAATTTTTCTTTTACATTTTATTTATTTATTTGACAGAGAGAGACAGTGAGAGAGGGAACACAGCAGGGGGAGTGGGAGAGAGAGAAGCAGGTTTCCCGCCTGCCCTGATCTGGGGCTCAATCCCAGGACCCTGGGATCATGACCTG